CGGATTTCACTCAAAACTAACCAACTGACTCCTCCCACCATATTATGATGTTGCCCAAGTTTTGGGCTCGATCCGAAATCAATAGGTGTCAGAAATTGGACAATTCAAGTTCAAAGGCAGTTCGTTCCTAATTGGAGTGGTTGGTGTTTTGGGTAGTTCTACAGATTGGATTTCACTCAAACATAACCAAATGACTCCTCCCACCATATTATTACGTTGCCCCAGTTTTGGGCTCTATAGAAAATCAATAGTTGTAAAAAATTGGACAATTCAAGTTGAAAGGCAGTTCGTTCCAAGTTGAAGCGGTTGGTGTTTTGGGTAGTTCTTGAGATCAGATTTCACTCAAACTTAACCAAATGATTCCTCCCACCATATTATCTTGTTGCCCAAGTTTTGGGCTCGATCTGAAATCCATAGGTGTAGGAAATTGGACAATTCAAGTTCAAAGGCAGTTCGTTCCTAATTGGAGTGGTTGGTGTTTTGAGTAGTTCTAGAGATCGGATTTCTCTCAAACTCAACCAAATGACTCGTCCCACCATATTATGTCGTTGCCCAAGTTTTGGGGTTGATCCGAAATCAGTAGGTGAAAGAAATTGGACAATTCAAGTTCCATGGCAGTTCGTTCCTAATTGGGGTGGTTGGTGTATTGGGTAGTTCTAGAGATCGGATTGCACTCAAAATTAACCACATGACTCCTCCCACCATATTATGTTGTTGCCCAAGTTTTGGGGTTGATCCGAAATCAATAGGTGTAAGAAATTAGACAATTCAATTTCACAGGCAGTTCGTTCCTATTTGAGATGGTTGGTGTATTGGGCAGTTCTAGAGATCAGATTTCACTCAAAATTAACCGAATGACTCTTCCCACCATATTATGTTGTTGCCCAAGTTTTGGGGTTGATCCGAAATCAATAGGTGTAAGAAATTAGACAATTCAATTTCACAGGCAGTTCGTTCCTATTTGAGATGGTTGGTGTATTGGGCAGTTCTAGAGATCAGATTTCACTCAAAATTAACCACATGACTCCTCCCACCACATTATGATGTACCCCAAGTTTTGGGCTCGATCCGAAATCAATGGGTGTAAGAAATTGGACAATTCAAGTTCAAAGGCAGTTCGTTCCTAATTGGAGTGGTTGGTGTTTTGGGTATTTCTGGAGATCGGATTTCACTCAGACTTAACCAAATGACTCCTCCCACCATCTTACACTACAAGGAAAAACCTTTTTTGCGACGAAATATTTAGCGACGAACCTTATTTTGGTGGCCAAAAAGGGATATCAGCGACGAAACGATTCGAATTGGTCGCCAAAAGGTTCGTGATATTTAGACATCCGTGATGACTTGAGTCAACTAAATAGAGACTAATTTCTTTGAAAGGGCGACGAAATATTTTGGTGGCTAGACTAGGTCATGGCGACCAAATATATATTTGGTTGCGAATTTCTGAATTGTGTTCGCGCGAAACTCTAAAAGTTTTTGCGACGAAAATATTTGGTCGCTGAGGTTCAATGTTTGGTCGCTAAATTAGAATTCGCGCTTAAAAATTTTGTGGGGTCGGCGACCACTTGTTTTTCGTCGCAGACCATCGTGCTTGGAAAATTTAAGCCATAAAACGACTTAGTTTTATATATGTTATCTTAAGGGCGACCAAATAGTTTTTGGGGCCAATCTAGAGAGTATAAATACAAAAATAAAAAATAAGTAATTCCCAACTCGTTATTTCCTCTCAGACCCACTCTCCGCTGCTCTGACATTGGCAAAGCAATCCTCCACCGACGTCGGCAAAGAGATCCTCCATCTCGCACGCCTTTCCATACCAGTGTCAGAAATCGACGGCCATCTGAAAACTCCATCTCCGAAATCCTCCTCACTATGTGTTTCAGCGGCAAGCTTCTGGTGAGTCTACCTTGTCTCGCTTACCTTCATTTTCTTTTGAGCTCTGATTTTCAGTTGTAGATTTCATTTGGTTGCTGAGAAAATAACCAAGGAAAATCCGAAATAGATACCCAGGAATTTAAATCAGACCTGATTTCAGTGCTTGATTTTTCCTTTTTGATATCTTAAATGCTTGAACATTCAATTGTCCAAGTATTCTGAATAAAATGACTTTTCCTTTTTCAAGTAGTTATTGTGGGTTCTGTGTCAAATTTGAGTAGGGTTTTGTGTCTGATATGAATGCCCTGTTTTCCATTTGATGTGGGTTCTGAGTCAAATTTGAGATGATTCACTTGCACACGTACCCATTATTTATTTCATTTTTTATGTTTTAATGCTTTGAGTCTGATTGATTGTTTTCCAAGTCATGAATGTTTGCTTGATACTTCTGGATTAAATCTGAATTTCTTTACTATCCGTGGGAAGAAAGAATATAACAATTCATTTATATAATTTAAGTAAAAAGTTAGAAGTTGGAAGTTGGTCATGTGGGTGTGTGTTCGTTTCAAGGTTTCTTTGCCTTTGTCTGTGAGCTTATGGTTTTGTTGTTGTTATTATTATTGCCAATGTAGCTTATTGAGTTCTCTTTATAGTTTAGATATAAGCTAGCTGTAGAGTTGTCTCTATATTTATATATAAGCTAGCTGCAGGGTCATGGTCCCATAGATTAACTCGTCAGTTTAGCAATTATTTTTCTTTCCCTTATAGCATTGGTGTCTGAGTGTAGTACCACTTAATTGGATGATAGAATTTAACTGATGGAGTATCATCCTTCAATTCTGGTTTGATTGTTTTGGAAATCCTTTTCAAGCACTTCCAGCCACCTTTTTTTTTTTTCTTTTTTAACGAACCATTTTGGCTTTATGTGATGATCACTGGTTGCTTGAATTTTATGCAAGGTAATTCAATTAGCTTCAAGGGTACATTTTTGTTAATTTTGAAATGGTTTTTGTCATCATTTAGGGCATATATAATTAAAAACTGTAAAGAATAATAATTTGTTTTGGAATTGAGATGAAGAGCCTAATTACTAGTTTCAGATCATTCATATACTACACGAGAGACATGTGACCTTAAGCCTGATTTTATTCATTGTACATGTTATAACTGTATAAAGTGGATGTGTTGACTACAATATTCCTTTGAACCATTTGGTTTTCTGTTTAGGCTTTTATCTTGGATATTTGGTGCTTCCTGTGATGTCTTATTATGTTACTATTTTGAGTTAACTCAGAAAAATAATGTTTTTGTTTAATGATGAGTAGTGAAACTTAGAGGGCGAAGGCATACTATTTTGAGTTTGAATACTAATTTGGACTCAAGCCCTCCAAAAATATAGTGTCTAACAGATTTGTGTTTTTTATTCTTCTTTTTTACGATAGGGTGTTTGAATTACTTGCTTAAGAGGCTATATTTGCTTAAGAGGTATGGATAGCTAAACATATGGCTTCTGGCTTCTTCTTTTTTTTCTGACTTGTGTCATGGGTTTATTATGTCTAATTGTTTTATTTTATTTTATTTTTATTTTATAACTTTTGTTTGCAATAGGTTGTTTGAAATACTTTCTTAAGAGGCTATATTTGCTTAAGAGGTATGGATAGCTAAACATATGTAAAAAAAAAAATTGTTACCATGATACTTACCCTTAAAAACATATTTAATGTGGAATCTCTCTTTTTATAATTTTCCTGTGAAAGAGTTATTAGCTTGTCAATCTAGAGTTATTAGCTTGTCAATCTGTGAAAGAGTTATTTGCTTGTATCTATATAAGTGTTTTTTCTAATCATGTTATGAAATTTTGAAACTGCTTCAAGTCATCACCGATTGAATTGGACAAGGCCCATTATATGAGGTATAAGGAGACGGAGACAAGGTGTGTTAGAGATGTTCAATCATTTTTTGATGAATAATTCCTCTATCTCAAGCATGTTTGTGATGAGAATCGATGTCATAACAGCCGAAGTATGATGTTCAATCATTTGGTTTTTTTTTTTTTTTTTTTTTCAGG